GTCCACCTTGTGTAGGCTCACCAGGAGCATCTTCAGTATGATTTGTACCTCATTATACTTTGACTTGGTTTTTATTTCTTCTACTAGATCTCTATATTTTGAAATCTTTTTGATACATATAGCTCACAAAACATGAATATTTATTTGTTATGCTACCATTTATTAAAATTTTCTTAAAATTTTATGAATACTTCAATTAAGTGATTTATATAATTTATTATCTATATAAATAAGTCAATAACAATTTATGGGTGGATAAGGAAAACAGTTTATTTGTTAGATTCTGACCCATATTTTGAGTTCTATACTAACAGTGTGAGAATTTATCATCCTTTAGTTTATGAAAGATAGCTTCTGATGGCTATAATAATTCTAGTCATCAAGTCATGTTGTGCTGTTATCATTTTCTTCTCATTTTGTCTGATGACATTAAGACAAAAATTGCCTGAGACATCATTATCCTTTTGTCATATTTCATATCTTACGTAACACTGAACAAGTGGACAAAATTACTGCTTCTGTAGTTAAATAAAAGTATTATGGTATAATGTCATCTTCTATATGCTCATCGAAAGCATCCTCTATCCAAGCTCAGCAGCAGATGTGATGACAGGGATGTTGTGTTTCTCATCCTTTTCCCGGATGAATTTTATTCCTTCTGCCTAGACTTTGAATTTTGAAAGCTTTTGTCTGAGACTTGGAGATTATATGAATTTGTTATGGTTATATCTGTTTAAGAGGTTGTCCTTATGTTTTTGTGGATCAGAATTGTATTTGGGTCAGTATGGCAACAGCAGCCTGTGATTATGATCCAGCTCTAAAATGGTTTATTGGTAGAGCTCTAAAGCAGATTTGTCATCTGTAAAGTAAAATCCTGGACACCAAGTCGTATCTTGCTAGCACCCGGCATACCCTAATTTTGTTTTACAGTTTCACTGCAGAGTGTTTTGTTTGTTTTGTTTGTTTTGTTTTCACGTCTTGCAATGATTTTTGTTGTTTTTCTTTGTTTCTTTTACTATTTCCTTACATAATTTGCATTGAACACTGTACGCTTTAATGGTAATGCTTCCATAATTTCTCATGGTGATGACCTGGCCTGAATTGCTACCATAAATCCCTATATTTCTATTATCAAATTCACATAACTCAGACATATATTTGATGCCTCTTTTTTGACATATTGTTTTACTTAGGTGAGGTAGACATCACTCCTTTCTATTCCACTCTTGCCACAGTTATCCATTCTGAGATATATCACTTTTATTTACATTAGAACCATTAGGTGTACCTCTATTTTCAGCCTCTACTAGTGCTCCATGAAGTGAAATATTTTTGTGCCAAAAGTATTTCGGTAGATTTCTGACCTGTTTAACATGTGTTTTCAGAATGTCTGTCAATTCTCTTACTCTTTTTTGTTGAGGAAGTCTTAATCTTTCAATAATTGCCTTAGTATGATAATATTAAATATTAAATAAAATATTTTAAATGCCATTTTTAAAGACTTGGGATATAGAGTCAAACTGATAGAGAGTTTTGCTTCATTAATATTGCATGGGTTTTAGTTAGGATACTTGACAAATTCTTAATGGTGAATTTTATAGTTTCAAAAATTTATACTGAGGTTTGTATTGAATTAAGGGTTAATTGCTTTGAATTTAAATTTATTTCATTTAATTTCTGAGAAGAAAAAGCAGAGATTATAATACAGGCTTCTTTTTATCCTGGTGAGTTGGCTAGGTTTATTTACCTTGCTTAAAGTGTCAGCCTGGGTTGTCTTCCTGTGATTTCCATTCTAAGGGGATAATACTACATCAAGGTGAGTGAACAACTGACTAGTCTGGTCTGTATAGTCTAGAAATAATCTCTCTGATGACTTTTGCATTTTCTCTGATTTAAAGAAAACTGTTATAGACATTAAGAGGTAGGACTTTTTAAATATCCTTTTTTGGGTGATAATAAATTAAAAGAACTTCTAAATTCTATATGCAAATAGAATACAGAACAATATTTTCCTAGTTAAAGAGTAATGAGGTCCAACAGACAAGCAGTAAGCAGAGATGCAGATATTCTTAAATGGACCAATGACATGAAAGCCTGTAGTCCAGAGTTATGTATTACCCTAAGTAAATGTGTTTTTCTCCCTTATGTGTTGTCTTGCAATGTTCTTATACATGTATTCCCAAAGATCTTGAGTACATTGAAAGATTATGACCCAGGTTAATGTGTGGATTGTGACATACTTTGTTATTTAAACACTTGATTTAATTTGAGCATGTATGATGTTTTTGACACCATGTTTATTTGTCTTAATAAATAAATGTGTTATTTTTTTTTAACATCAAAAGTGTCATTATTATTAGTGGCTGCTTTTACAAGGACCACACACCTGTAGGGTACTACTTTGTGAGAGATTAGCTAAATAAATAGAAATGCATCAGTAGGGGCTCAAGATACAGAATTGTAAGTAGAGGGAACATATTTTTCCTCAAGAGGGTTATCCATAGAAATCTTGGTGTGAGAGATCCCTCCCTGAGAATGTAATCCTGCCAAGGTGAAGGCAGGTTGGCATGAGGAGAACTAACCTAAAGAGTGATTAATAAGTACTATTATTACCACTAGAACAACCAGTATTACTACCAGTACTACCACTGTTAATACTACCACCACTACCACTACTATGACCACTGCCACCGCCACTGCCACTACCATTATTTTGAGCTACCCTTTCTATAGTGCTTTAAAGTCTTTACAAAAACCTCATTTTATCCTTATGATAGCACTGGAAGGTAAGTGTTATTATCTCCATTTTGGAGATGAGGAAAATGAGGCAGACATACATTAGGTGATTTGCCAAGGGTCACATAGTCAGAAAATGACTGAGATAGGATTTGAACTCAGGCTTAATGCTCTATTCACTATACCACCTAGATGCTATGGAAAAACTACATTTAATAAAATATCAATTTTGGTGTGATTTCAGCTCCACTCTAATGTACCACAGGAAATATGAATATGAGAAATTCAGAAGAAATATGAGATTTGTAAAAATGGATATAGCTATAATGTCAGACATTACCAATGTGCAGTTTTTACTGCTGTCAGACATTAATGATGTGTAGTTTTTACTGAACTGTTTGTACATAGTTATTTGTATACTGTCTTCCCATCAGACTGTAGGATGCTCAAGAGCAACCTTTAACCTTTGTCTTTATCCTCAAATCTTAGAACAGTGCTTGAGACATAGTAGTGCGTAATAAATGTTTGTTGACATTTTCCTTTCCTTCCTTCCTTCTTTCTTTTTTTTCTCTGTTTCTTCTTCCTTTTCCTTCTTCATAATTTTCTCTGGGACGGGGGGAGGAAGACCATGGGAAAAAATAATGATGTAAAAACAAGATACATCAAATAGAGAATTATTTTTTTGAACTGATATAGAGTAAAGAAAAAAGAATCTGGAGAAAAACCATATATAATTAGTTCAATATTTAAACAAAAAGAATACTAAAATAAAGTGGAAAATTAATCATAATGACCAGTCTTGGGCTCAGAGAAAAGTCAAGGAAGTACCTTCTTCCTCGAGCCAGAAAGGTGGGGGATTATAGGTGTCACCAAAATTGAATATGGTGTTTGATATAGGTAGCTACTATGCCAGTTGGTTCTGCTTAACTCTTTCCCTTTGTTCCAAGAGAGGGTGCATTTGAGGTGTGTGGCAGGCCAAAAGTTACTATGATATGAACACAAAGGGCAACAATAAAGCTAATGTGAAAATAAACATAATCACGATACCTTCAATAAATATCATCAAAAATAGTTTTTGTTCCCTTTCATATTACAAATTAAGCTTAAGGAAATACTTCTTTAGAACTATGTTATAACATCAATACAGCAAATACTATTATTTTTATTTGACAAAATGAGGAATCTGAGGTTCAAAGAAATGGCATAATTTGCCTGCCCCTGGTCACACAGTTAGTAGTAGACTCTCAGAAAACAGGGATTCTAACCTAAGGACTCCTAATTAGTTAGATTCATTGGTCTTTCTACCAACAGCATGGCAACCCTACATAATTTAGGCTTTTGTTTTGTTTTTTTTCCCTTCAGAGTAAAATTTTAATGTTGAATAAATGTTAAAATTGTTTAAAGTATTAGGCCACTAGAGGTCACTAAGAGATCTTAGCAAAAAGCTAACATTCACTTAATTTTCTTTAAGAGAATAAAGGAAAGGTGCATTTTCTATATTATAATTACTTTAATTCTTTAAGATAAAGTAGGGATTGATTTATTTCAATTAAATTTCACATAAAACAAAATAAGCACAACTTATTTACAATTTGGTTTTGCTTCTCATGAGGCAAAGGCTGGTACTTCATGTCAAAACAGAAAAAGAAGGCTGTGTTCCTGTTAAGCAAAAAGATAATTGAGGGAGTAACATTCAAAACTAGACTTTTAAAACCTCATGAATCGAAGTTAGCTAATGTAATGTTGTATGTTGATTCACAAAATTACCAAAATGAAGGGATCTTGGAGCTCACCTAGTACACAAAATGCTTGTCTTACAAATGAGGAAATGAAGGCCATGAGTAACTTGCCGTAGACCATGTAGCTAGTAACCTGAAGGGCTGGTATTCAAAAATGAGTCTTCTTAATTATTTTACCATGCCATATCGCACCAAAATTATTTGGTAAACATTAATTCTATAAGTTTTAAAAAATCATCTGTGTAATGACAAACCTAGTCAAACCAAGAGAGTTGAAATGCTTTAAGGTACATTGGTGCATTCTGTACCAAAATAGTTTATAAGTATTTAGTTATAGCAGTTCATAAGAACTATATAAGAACTCTACAAGAGTTCTTGTAGAGTTCAAAATGGTTTACCCTCTTCTAAACTGAAATGTTACTTACTGTCTTTTAGGAATCCTTTTTTTTTTTTCAATTAAACACATCCACATATCATAGGAGATGAGCCCACTTATCTCTACTCAAGATAGCATAGCTTGCTGACCTGTAGAATGCTGGGCTTGGAAGCCTTTTCTTTGTACTGATGCATCAGAAACAAAGCGAAGGAACATCTTATTTCCAGTTGCCACTAGGGGATCTGGCATCTTGTTGCCACACAGACGACCCAGAATTGGTGATTTTTCCGTTTCCCCATCAAACACTTCTAAGTGATCATAAGCACATTCCTGATGTTGTTCAATCTCAAACTCACTGAAAGACTGTCCAAAAAAAAAAGGAAAAAACCCTTTAAATTATAGCAAGAATCAAAAATGTGTAATTTCTTCTGGACAAAAAATAAAAAGAGAGGATTAATAAGTCTTTGAAATATAACCCTACACTAATGTGCCACTCTGATGCTTCACCAGGGGCGACTTGGAGGCCAAATTCTAGCAAATCTTGCCAAGGTGGAAAAATAAAAGTGTTGAAAAGTAGACTACACATTTGTCTTATGACACCAGCTTAATTATATCCATAAATGTTCTTTACCAGGTTGTCCCTAGGATAATGAAATGTTAAGCTACAACAACTGAAAAAGTCTACACCTGTTTGTTTTTTAAAAGCCATTCATAATCTGGCCCCAACCTACCTTTCCAGCCTCCTTATACATTACTCCCCTTTTTGCCTTCTTTTTGGTCCTCACATCTGTACGCCTTTGCAATGCATATCTGCCATGCTTGGAAGTCATTTACTCCCTCCCTCTGCCCCAGATAATACCTCACTCACTTCAGGATTCAGCTTAATGAACTACTTACTACATTTTAAACTGGGTTTAACTGGAAGGGGGGGTCCATGAATATTTTTAAAAAATGTTTTGATAATTCTATTTCAATACAACTCTTTTCCTCTACAATCTTCTTGATTTTAGTTTATCTACTTAAAAACATTATTCAGGAAAAAATTGTCCATAGGCTTCACACACGTTAAGAACTCTTGCTCTACATGAATCTACACAAAATCATATCTGATGTCTTCAAATGAGTTACTTTTCTCCATAAACTACTTTGTATTTATTTTTAAATTTATCCTGTATATGTTTATATATGTCTGTCTAGTTTTCCCATCAAATGTAATCTCTTGAGAGCAAAGGATGTTTCATTTACAGGTTTGCAAACTTAGCACCTCACACAGTGTCTGGTATAGAGAAGGTGCTTAATAAATGTTTATTGATTAACTGACTGATTACTGAGGCAGAAAGGGGTTGTGAGCTACATCAGTGGAAGGTGTCTATCAAGATAGACTCAAGGATTCTTTAGGTATTATATCATGGAAAATGGAAATGGAAAATGGAAAAACCTTATAGATTGTCTTTTTTTCTAGGGAACTGTGAAACACAGACCCACAGAATGTAAGGTCGGCATGTGAAATTGACAGGATTTATAAAAAGTTATATTGCGATATGTTAGAAATTGTAGCAAAAAATAGGTTAGTTACATGTTAAAAACAAGGAATACCAGCCCAAGTGTTCAGCTGCTACCTACGTGATTTTAAAGAGAGAGTAAATGCTCCTGCAATTTAAGTGGACCTGAGTCCCAGAAAAAATACAGAATTGCTGACTTTATTCACCGTAGCTATGTAACTGTATTTCTCCCTTGAATCTCTATCCTCCTCCAAGGAAAATATAAAATAAATCAACTTTTCTCCTAGAGCAAAGTTCTCCCCCTTGCAATCCATACCAGTGACCTGTCAAAATTTCTACCATCCTTCGTTAATTCTCTCTCCTGGTCCCTACTGGTAATTGCCTCTGAATACTATTTATTTTGGGAAAGTCTCAGCTACCTACACATACATCTTCTTCTCTCTGGTACTATGAACCATAATCAAGTGAATTCTATCATTGCTTCTGGATGGAATACATCAATATATTCCCCTATCCTTCCTCCTCCCTGAATCCTGGTAACTTTCTGGATCAAAAGACCTGTCTCTAGTCCATCAATTCCTTATACATATTGTTTCCTCCATTAAAAGTTGTCTCCTTGAAGAGAGGCACTGTCTTTGCTTTTGTATTGTATCCCCGATTTAGCATAGTGCTCACTCTGTACATAGTGTTTAATAAATACTTTTTCATCTGTTTGTTGCTGTTTATTCTTTAAAGCCTCTCAATGGAAAGATGCATAAATGGTTATTAATCATGAAAAATAACAAAATCATTTTACATATTTTATAATTTTTACCACCATCTTTATGGTACTTGATACTTGCATATACCCTTCTGTATATGTGGTTTTTCCATATCCATCTGCAAAAATCTTATGAAATAAGCATTATGCTGAATTACAATGGAGATTATAAATGCCAGAGACTGGAGGGTTAAGAAAACAGAATGTGTACCCAAAACTAACCATGTCTCCACTTACTTGATACTTCTAATTTTGGTAGAGAGAAAAAGATGAGAGAAGTTAGGAGAAGAAAGAAGAGGGACAGAGACTAAAATGTAGGAGAAAAGAGTTTATACTTATTCAGAAATGAAAAAAGTAGTTAGACTTCCCCCACCCACCCAGAAAAGAGTGCTACCCTCCCTCAGCAGAGAATAAAAGGGTAATGACACATAAGAATCAGAAATAAAACATATTTTCTACCATATTTTACAGTGGATATAAAGAAATATGGGATAGTAGAGCAAATTACAGCAAACAATAACTGCTGAGATGGGAAATGTGTCCTATAAGTAGATGTTATATAATCTATCTGAAGCCCAGGCTAAAAGTGAACCAGCTGAAAGATCTGGTGGTTATGATTTATATTATTATGCAACACAAGTGGTAGCAAAATTTATGGCTTTCGTATATCCACTTATATTATGGAGGTATGTTAAATTCCACTGGTTGTTCACAACAACCAAATCTCTTTGTCCATCTGATTCTGTCATCACTGTGTACAGACAGGTATCTATGATAATTTACCATATGTCATTCGCTAGAGAGAGATTAACAAAAGGTCATAGGATCATAGCTTTATAACTAGAAAGGACCTCAGAAGCCAATGAATCCAAGCCTCTCATTTTATAGATGAAGTAACTGAGGCACAGAGAAATTAAGTGACTTGTCTGCAGAACTAGTCAAATAGCTAGCATGTGTGGATTTGAATGCAGGTTTTATTGCCATTCACAATAATTGACTTAAATTACATGAAGCACATCTAGATGCACATAAAACTGAGTTTCTTCCCTCTGAGAATGATTCAACACTGGAAGAGGCTGTCAAGGCTGCACAGAATCAACATGATTCACTGTCATGGTTTTGGATGGCCAGTTATTTTGACCCATTGAGCTCTTAAATCTCATTTCTTCTTTCTGATTCTGGAGAAATTATAATCCTCTAATTCACAGAAGAAGCAACTGGGGGAAAGAGAGGCTCACTGATCTTTGCAAAGGACTTTCATTCAGTAAATGTTGCAATTCAGATCAGAACTCACAGGCCCTGTATTTCTTTCCTGTTGATTAGCCCACTCAACTCCACAAGAATGATATAAATGGCTATTTTTCTCCCCTAATGAAATGCAGGATCTTTGGAATGAAATCATAACATCTGTTTAACAGTGTATAGCAACATAGCACAACAGTGTAGGTCAAGCTGGCAAACGAGGTGGCAGACAAATATTTCATCTAGATCCAACTGGCCTTAGCTTTTTATCAAATTACTAATGGAATCAGACCAAATTTATATGAGTTTAATCTGATGAAATTCCCCTAAGAAACAGGATTCAAGGCATATAATAACTCATATTCCCATACATACCAGGGGATTCTTCTTCTGGAAGAAGAAAAAACTTTTGAAATTCTGAATCCAAAATTAGTAGTTACCCTCCACCCCCAAATCAGTCTCACCTAAAGTTATACCATACGCATGCAAAAACATTACCCATGTGCCATAAATAGTGTTTGACTGTTAGCCATTGCTACATACCGATGCATTGAAGGCAAAAAGAAAGAGGAAATGAAGAGCAGAATGTTGCAAGATTCAATTAAAAGGTCAAATTTCATTCTGTCCAAAAGGAATCCCTTCCAGGGCACAGATGAGCAAGCAAGAAGTAACCACAGCCAAATTATCCGTGGATTGGACTATTACAAGCTTTCCAGAAATCATGAGGCTAAAAGGACCCATGAGGGAATCCCATTAGGGTTCAAAACAGGTGGGAAGACTGAATAGAAAAGTCCTGCCAAGCTAGTCCTTGGGATGCTCTTTCATTAAATAAAATAACAATATATCACTTTATTACAAGCTACAGCTTGATCCAAAAATCCCTTTATCCAAATGTTGGAAAATGTCATTGGATCTGGGTGGTAGGAGCCTAATCAATTGTGACTCTCACCAAATATTATTGAAGATTGCAATTAGCTACATAGGAAAAAAAAATAGGAGTGGGAATCCAGAACGAGGATTTTAAAATTGTCCAATCATTGCCAAATTCACTAGGCAGTAGGAAACCCATCCTGATACCTTGGGACAAACTATCCCCCGTGCCTGGAATACCCTCCCCTCCTCACTTTGGCCTCTGGGAAACACTTGACCTCTTCAAGGTTCAGAACAAATACCACCTCCTAAACAAACACCTTCTTAATCCTCCTAGTTAGTGTTAGTGTTTCCTTAGCCCTGAAATTATTTTGTATCTATTTTGTACATGTTGCTTTTTCACTGTAGAATGTAAGCTACATCTGTGTTTGTATCCCTCGTACATAGTGCCTAGCATATATTAAAATATGTTTACTGAACTGAATTGATTTAGACTTAGTTTAGCCTCACATCCATCTCTCCCTTCAATTTCTAAATGCCTCATTTCAGCATTTAGCTGAATTCTCATTATCTCTAGTGGCACTTTTAAGCCAAAGAGAAAGGGGCTTCTCTTGTTGGGTTTTTAGGGTTATTTCAGTCTTCTGAAACTCAAAGTTCACCCATTTCAGTGACTGTATTTGTGAGATATTAAGATTACTGAACTATGTTTTAGCAAGACCAAGAAAAAGCTCTGAAGATAATAACCCTGGGCTCCAGCCAGAAATCCTTGCACATTTCCCACAAGGCAGGCTAAAAGAGTAAGAAGTCACACTCAAAAGAAATAAAACTAAACTCCAGTCACAGACTGTGTAAATAATAAATACATGCTGCTGTCTGGAACACCCAAGCAAGCCTAATCCCCCGATTCTTGGTTGCAGCCAGCCAAGCTTCAATAGGACAGTACTTTATATTAATAGCTGTCCTTGAAGAAATGTCTCTACCTAAAATAC